ACCTATGGGCAAATGACTCTGACTTCCCCATAGTGTTTTCACAAGGATTTCCTTGGGATAATTTTTCTCCAATGTTCCTGAACGCTGTGTTTCTCCTGATTTTTTTAATCCAAGACAGATGTTTTTACATTTATAAGTTTGTAGTGCAGCAGTGTTTCATGAGATTTGCTGTGTGTGGTGGTGCCCGCACTTCGGATCTAAACTCAGTTTCATTTGGTTACAGTTGTTACAAACTGACTTTAAAGGTGTGCTTTATTTATAAAACAGCTTTTTGTTCTGAAGGTTAATTTTTTCTGTGCTTATTTATCTAGGTAGAGCACAGCCTAATAATGACATGCACAGCACAGGAAACCCAAGCAATCAATCAAATTTTCAGTTTACTATAAGTTAGTGAAAGAAGAATATTATCTGTTGTTATGAGATCTGACACTTTGTATTTTTCTATTTCCCTTATTAAAAACACCTGTCAAATTTAATATACTATTTGTTTCCTGTTCTTTATGTACTAAGGGTGGTGGTGGGGAGAGCCTGGAATCCAGCAGGAGTGGTCACCAAAAACATTTCACGCAAGTGCTATTTTAAACTGTACATCAATGTTCATTATACTGTGTTATCAAATAAAGCACAATGCAGAAACTGAAGACAGACTAAATGACCAACTGTATTGAGTGCCTTGCTATAATTTTTGCTAAGCAATGGATGTTTTTTTTTGTACTTGTAATATCTAGCATATATAAATTTAAAGCTCTATTCTGTGCTTGGTTAGATGGTGTGAAGGGCAGGGGAGACATTGGGATCTATTAGACCCCTAAAGTCTCCATAAAGAGTACCTGTCAACTGCCCAGTGATATCACATGAGGATTTATTAACCCCTTGAGACAGCAATCAAGTAAAAATATATATTAAAAAAAAGTTTTAAAAATTAAAATTTTAATAAAATATATCAAAATTAATACAAACCAAATTCCATAAACCCAGTTTACCCGCACATATGTGCAAACGTAAGCTATTCTGCTGTGTGTTTGCACTAAAAGTGATTTTATTATTATATTTTTTCCTGAAATTTGCATTTATTAAACAGTTTTGCAAATATCATGTGACATAAAAATGTGGAAATTTCACCTTTTTATTCTACAGGACCTCTTCTTTCAGAAAATATACAATGTTCTGGAATTTAGGTAATTTTATTGGCAAAAAATATAATTTTTACATGTATGCAAAAAAATACAAAAAATTGCTCTGGAGCCGAACTGGTTAATGCTGCTGTGAGCAGGCAGCATTAAGAGCCCTTTCACACTCACCTCTCACGTAAACTAAGACTTCTGGTGCTCCAGCCACTGACCAATGAGGAGTAACATTGCGTCCGTGCATGTCACCCCTCCCATTCACCGCACGAGGATCTTAATCTGAGAAGGCATGCTGCGTAGCTGACAGATGGATGGGCGTGAGTGGGACGTCATGTCTAAATTTTGCCTAAGGCTTCACAAAGCCTAGAGCCACCATACGGTAAATATTATTACCAACATATGGGGACATGCAGGCACAATATGGTTGTTTGTTTAATAATTTTTAAAGCCCCTTTACATTTGTGTGCACACTGCACCCAAATGCACAGAACAGTTGCTTGCACTACTTTAAAGAGGGGCTGCAGTCATACTTGTAAAAATTAAAAGTCATCAGCTACAAAACTGTAGCTGCTGACTTTTAATAAACAGACACTTACCTGTCCAGCACTGTGCTCACCTGAGCCATTTTCTCCACCTGTCTTCGGTCCCCGATGCCTGTATCTTAACTGTGGTCACCCGGCTGTGACAGTTTGCGGCTTTCACAGCTAGGTGCTCACTGTCCAAGCACAATCATTACCCCAGTCTTCTGGGACCTGTTACATGTCCCAAAAGGCTGCAGTGGGGTAGATTTTCTGCCTGGATAGCCTAGGCACTCAGAGAAGATACCTGTCAAAACCAGGTAACCCCCCGCCAAAAAAAAGTGCCATTTCTTTCAGAAGAGCAAGGGAGGAGTCCTTAAAGCAGAACTTTCCCTTACAGGTGAAGCTCAGCTTTAGGCAACGCCAGGCACCACAACGCACAATAATTTATCTGTGTTGGTCTGCCATTCACCCATATGTATCACGCAATAGTGTGAGGTCAGTTTGTGAACAAGAATATAAAAACGGATGACAATGTCTTACAATAAGACTATTAGGAAGATAAATTTACTCTCTCTCTTTTTTTTTTTTTTTTTAATAAAGCAATCAACGGGAAATTGAAAATTGCTTCTCTGAAAATCATCTTAGAGTTCCTTTAAACCCCCCTCATACTCTGGGATCTGAGACGACATGTTGTAAATATATCGTATCCAAAGACTCTGGAAAAACAGGATATAAGCATATAGAGTTATTTGTTCCCTGTATAAATGCAGCTTTTATTTCATGTGCGGTCTCGTGGAAGAATGCAAATACAAGTGGTTTCCCAAATACTTACTTACTTACTGAAAATTAAGAGACATCTTCCTGGGTGGTCAGAACATTTCACAGACTGAAATAAGTTTGAGTGATGGAATGAGTATAACTATTTGTATCATTTCTGAAGACACCCTTCAATATGTACTGTAGGTTTGCAGACCAAAATATGAAAGAAACTATTTCAGAAGTGCTTCTTCACTTGGGTCAAAATACCTGAATTTTGGCACATTATGAAGACAGGAAAATCTTCCTTACTCTGTGAAGCTCTACCTGGTAATGGGGAAAAAGCAACTAGCATAGATTCTTTAATAAAAATTTTTAATGTGCACTGTCTGAAAGCAGAAGAACCTGATAGGATTTATTGTACGATGTTGACAACAGACAGCTAACGTATTGTACTCACTGCTGTGGTAAATGTCCTTAAAGGAGTTTATAATACAGTGTTTCTTCTGTTCTCCTACCTTGGTCAGATGTCAACAAACCTAAAACTATGTTTCTATGTTTGGGAAGTCACTGGATCACCTGAAGCAAGCTCCCACAAACATTGAAAGAACATACATACTCTAAGCCAGGGGTGTCCAACCTTTTGATTTTCTTGGGTCACATTAGAAGAAGAGGAATTGTCTTGGGCCACACACAAAATACACTAACAATAAGGATAGCTGATGAGCAATAAAAGTCAGGCATATCACAGTTAATGATCACTGATATAGATAATATACCTGAGTAATAAAACTTAATTAAAAAAAAATATTTTTATTATAAAAGTAAAAGAGGGCAACATAATACTAGTGAAATATTTGACACTGTTTTTGATAAACTAACACATCAATATCTGGTTTGATGAATGCAGCAGCAATTCTCAATGAATTCTCAAGGTACTTGTCAGATATTTTAGTTGCTCACAAATATATTTGATGCCGAAAACTGATGACATGAATAAGTGGTTGTTGTGAAGGGTGGGATCTTTTTCTTTGGGAAGAAAAAATTTATATAAAAATCCAGTAAAGAGACACTGTCACATTTTTCTTCAGCCACGTGTTCACTAAGTGTAAATGCATTAAAAAAAATCAACATTTTTAAGCTTAAAATTTTGTGTTGGGCCCATCTTGGGCTGCAGGCTGGACATCACTGGTGGATATGAATCCAGAAATCAGTAGTCCAGAGGAATGTATGCTAACAATACAGACATGGTGCCTGAACCACTTTGTTGTGCAAATATAGCCAACTATACTGTGGATTATGAACTTTCAACACCTTAACTATGAAGAAAGAACAGAATCTGCACAGGAAACAGAAACACAGAAGGCTAAAACACATATACCAAAGCTATTCTTTGTGTGCTCATCGGTGGTAGGCAACCAGGAAACCCAGAGTAAAGTCACACAAAAACTGAATACAGACCTCCCAGATTCCTAGGATGACACCCACCATCACCACTTATTTGGATTTAAATGGCGAGAGGTATATGTTGGGGTACACATTTTTTAACATGAATGGCTGTGTTAGAGTGCACATACAGCACATTATAAAATGAGTGTGCTGCAGCCCAGTAGTCCCTATGTGGCAGGCGGGAGTGTGTTTAGTAAAATAGTCAACCATCTAACACTACGGGATCTATGTATAAAAACTTTGCTATATCAATGTGACAAACGTGCACAGCCCCAACAAAAACTATTTTTATTATTTTGTAATATGATGGACTATGATTGTAAGGCCTCATGCACACTATGCTCTTCTGAATGCTTTTCTCCTGACAGGGAGGGAGTCCTAGTATTTAGGCAGGTTTAGATGTGTTTAGATATGTCAAGCATTTTTTTTCTGCCCAAAAGCTCCCCTCCTGAATGTGATTTTGGTTTATTCAGATTTCTGCCCCTAAAAGCCCCTGCTCATAAATACCAATAAACATTTATGGTGCATGGACACATAGACTGACATAGAGGGGAGTAAAAACAAACAAACAAACAAACAGGCATTTGACAGCTGAAGTGTGCATGAGGCCTTAGTGTCAGCTAGTGGCCTAATGCTTGAGGTATTTAAAAAAATACTGCATTATGTCCACTAGATGGTGCTTACCATCATAGGAAATAATCATATTACACAAAATACAGTGATTTTCATTGGGGCATGAATGTTTTTTACATTTACATAGAACATTTTTGATATATAAACCGTGGGAGAGAATTCACTCTCTAGCACAACAAACTGTGTCAAATGTGATGTGAGGCAAGTAATTTCCCTTTATTAAAGACTTGAAATAACCAGAGGAAAAGAAGCCCTGAAAGGTTGCCTGTTCCAAGGCACATACTGCCTTTCTGAGATGTTGCTTGCAGTTGACATTAAACTTGAACCTAATAAATACAACTGAAAACTTTAAAATACATCACATTTTGAAAACAGGTATAACTGTCAGTTGGCATATGTATCAGTTAATTCAAAACAGAGTGCACAATTCTTGTTTGTAACATATTTTGCAACTGTAGACACGCTATTTTCATTTACAACCCACCATTGTTCTGTCTCTGCTTTGGTTCTCATTGCATGGATTGTAGTAAAATGCCAAAAGCCACAGCAGGTCATCTGAAACTTCCAAGTCTGATGTCAACAGCTGCTCTGCTGCAATGTCTACCCATTCGCCAAAGTGGATTAGTAGATACCAGGATTTAAAGACACAGTCAGCAGTCCTGCAAAAATCAAATATAGGATTGCAATATATTTAAGGAAAAATAACCATAATTCCATCCTAATGAACCCAGTGCACAGTTACAATTTGTGGAAAATGTAATCCAAGCTTAATAGGGGATGGGGGGGATCCAGGCTGTTGGGGGGGTGGGGTGATGTGTAGAAGGCAACAAAAAAATGAATGAGAAGAAATTCAACTAGGAATTATGGTTTTTGCTTTTTTTTTTTTTTTTAAAAAAAAATGTGCTATTATTCTTTCCCTATCATATCATGTAACATACAATGCAAGCAAATTATTGTTGCTAAATATTAGTACATATTGTACATGTTAAACATATTAAATACATTTTAAATGATACATATTAAATCGTAAACCTACCCCAAACTGGTATTTTTGTGTTGTGTATGTGGCTGTTTGAGATCTGAATCTTGAACTAGCATCCTGTATCACACAGGGACTCCAAGCATAAGATGGTATCACCATAAATAGCAGCTCTCTACAACTGTGCCCATTAGTCAAATAAAGTAAATATGACAACTGCTCAGATCAATTTATACCTAGTAAAAGGAAAGGAGCACATAGGAGTGGCAAGTCACAGAATAATACAAAAATGAAGAGGGAAAAGGCTACCTTCCAGGACAACTCTTAGTTTATACACTGGTTTATACAGTTGCAAGAAAAAGTATGTGAACCCCTTGGGATTACGTGGGAGTTTTGCATGAATTGGGCATAAAATGTGCTCTGAACGTCATCTAAGTCACAACAAAAGAAGAACAGTCTGCTGAACATAATACTACTACACAAACATTAGATGTTGCCATGGTTTAATTGCACATAACATGTAAACATTCACAGTGCAGGGAGGAAAAAGTATGTGAACCTTTGGACTTAATAACTGGTTGACCCTCCTTTGGCAGCAATAACCTCAACCAAACGTTTCCTGTAGTGGCAGATCAGACCTGCACAACGATCTGGAGTAATTTTGGACCACTCCTCTTCACAAAACTGTTTCAGTGTAGCAATATTCTTGGGATGTCTGGTGTGAATCACTCTCTTAAGGTCATGCCACAGCATTTCAATCGGGTTGAGGTCAGGACTCTGACTGGGCCACTCTAGAAGGCGTATTCTGTGCTGTTGCAGCCATTGTTTTGTTGAATTACTTGTAGGCTTTGGGTTATTGTCCTGTTGCATCACCCATCCTCTGCGGAGCTTCAGTTGGCAGACAGATGGTGGTACGTTTTCCTGCAAAATGTCTTGATAAACTCTGGAATTCATTTTCCCATCAATGACAACAATCCGTCCAGGCCCTGAGGCAGCAAAGCAGCCCCAAACCATGATGCTCCCTCCACCATGTTTTACAGTGGGGAGGAGGTTTTGATGTTGGTGTGCTGTGCCTTTTTTTTCTCCACACATAGTGTTGTGTGTTCTTCTCAAACAACTCAATCTTGGTTTCATCTGTCCACAGTATATTTTGCCAGTAGTGCTGTGGAACATCCAGGTGCTCTTTTGCAAACTTCAAACGTGCTGCAATATTCTTTTTGGACAGCAATGGCTTCCTCCGTGGTGTCCTCCCATGTACTCCATTCTTGTTTAATGTTTTCCTTATTGTTGATGTGTCAACAAAAATGTTAGCATGTGCCAGAGATTTCTGTAGGTCTTTAGCTGACACTCTGGGATTCTTCTTTACCTCATGCAGCATTCTGCGCTGTGCTCTTGCAGTCATTTTTACAGGACGACCACGCCTAGGGAGAGTAGCAACAGTGCTAAACTTTCTCCATTTGTAGACAGTCTGTCTTACCGTGGACCATGAACATCAAGGCTTTTGGAGATACTTTTGTAACCCTTTCCAGCTTCATGCAAGTCAACAATTCTTGATCGTAGGTCTTCTGAGAGCTCTTTTCTGCGAGGCATGGTTCACATCAGACAGTGCTTCTTGAAACCAGTAAACCCAAAACAGGTGTGTGTTTTTGAAGGGCAGGACAGCTGTCAGCAACACATCCAATATCATCACACTGATTGGAGCCAAGGTTGGCTCACTCCTGGCTCCAATTATCTCTGGGAGAAGTCATTAAGCTAGGGCCTCACATACTTTTTCCTCCCTGCACTGTGAATGTTTACATGCTATGTGCAATTAAACCATGGCAACATCTAATGTTTGTGTAGTATTATGTTTAGCAGACTGTGTTCTTCTATTGTTGTGACTTAGATGACGTTCAGAGCACAATTTATGCCCAATTCATGCAAAACTCCACGTAATCCCCAGGGGTTCACATACTTTTTCTTGCAACTGTATATGTCCCAGGTTGGAAGTTTAGATAGTAAGGGACAACACTTTCCTGCAGGTGCCTTATTGCAGCAATATGGCTTCATAGGTATATGGAAATGCACCTCTGTTTTTAATGTAAAGTTTTGAAACAGATTTGCTTTTTGTACTAGATGAAAAATGCCCTGGGGAATTTTTGTGTTTCCTTAGCTAAATGCAACCTAATGATGCATTCCTTTTAATGCTAAAAAAAAAAAACCATAGATAGAATATTTTCTTGGAATTCACTAAGGGACACAGGGCTGAGTAATTCTAAGACAGCTGGGTTATACTGCTGCCTATGGGAGATTTGACATTGGCAAACAAAGTTGTTAGCCATCCAGGTATAACCCTTTCCATTACGCTTCAGTTAAGTAGAAGTGGAGCTTAAAATAATATTAACCCAAAAGCAAACATTTACTATATTGCAGATTACCATTTCTTAGATGTGATAGCTTCATTCATTTTCTTTTTTAGGCTTTCTTTCTTATCTTTTCATCTGGAGATCCAACCAGTAAGTCTATTGTTCTTATAAAGAACAAGCTCTCCATCAGACTGTATTAGTTGCAAAGATGAGACATTCCATTTAACACTGGTAGCTTTTATATATTTATGTAAAACCTTATCCCCAAAAAGAACAGCACTGTTGCTGTAACTGCTTACAGAGTATTAGCTGGAGTTTGGCTTAAATTTTTAGTCTAAATCTGCTAGTCCATCCAACACTTCCTTTCCTCCCCCATGACTGACAATGCTGCTGTCCCAAAGATGCCCCCTGTGCTTATTCATCTAGAGTGGGTGCACTCTAATACAGGAGGTGTGTTACTGGCTAGATCAAACAGAGGGAAAAAAGCCTAAAAAGAAAACGAAGGCAACCACCACATCTAATGATTGGTAAGCTGCAACACATTTCATTTTTGGTTTTGGAATTAATACTGCTTCAAAGACAGAAGGTGAGACCTGTATCCCTTAATGAACTCCTAGAAAAGGGTCTTACTGTAAGTCAAAAATCCTGTTTTCTGAATTGTTCATTAAGGGCAGAGAAAATCTGGAATGTGGGGTGGGCAAGAAATTGAACAAAATGCTAACAGGCCCACAATAAAGACAAAATGCTAACATAGGGAGCTAGATGAAGCTCATAAAGCTGCCTGAAGGCTTTACATGAGGCTGGCATAAGATGGGACCTGAATATCCACCTGGTAAATCCTAGAGAAACGTGTAAACCAAAGACCAGGTGGTAGCCTTGAAAATCTGAGAAACAGATGCCTGATGCTTAAAATCCCACGGCACTTACTGATCTAGTGAATTGTGCTCTGACAGGAAAAGGTGCAGTCTTGTCCTTAAGCCTGTAGGCTTGATGACGAGCTACCTAAGCCACCGAGAAATGGTGGACAGGAGACAGGTAGTCCTTAGGAAACTCTCCTAAGAGAGTCTGCAGAGAGAATGCAGAGATAGGAGAGTCAGTCAGTCTGAAACAAGCCATAGCTGGGAGATAAACTCAAACAGCTCAAATATCAAAACACTAGAGGGAAATCTTGGGTGTATTGGAGGAAGACAGAGAGATGGAAGAACCATGTCATGTTTAAGATCACATGAAGAAACCACTTTAGGGACAAGAGGCCTCAGGCATCAAGACATCCATATCTGCATGTAATACCAAAAAAACTTGCAAGACAAGGCCACTAATCTATAAATGGTCTCTAGAGGAAGACCTACCTGCTTTATCCAGGTTCCACCCAAATCACTGGAGAGTTTAAACAGTCTGTTGGACGTTGACTGATAAGGTCTGAGCTGACTGTTCCCTCAGTAAAAGGTCTTCTGGGTATCCCACTATAGGAATGCTTTTGTGAATGGAACAGAGCAAGCACGGGGGTTAGAATCATGGTGAAGATCTGAGGGATAGTGGACAGACCTAAAGGAAGGGTGACATACTTGTAAATGCTGTGTGTCCAAACAGAAATGGAGGAAGTGTTAATGTAAGGGAAATATAGGGATATGCAAGTAGGCATCTTGTTGTCCCATAGAGGCCAGAAAGTTCCCAGGTGGAGACAAGATAATGTTTGCACTCAAATGAAGGAATTGAGTACCTTTAAACGCCAAAATGCGGCTAATGTTTCTATTTGCTTTGGGAAAAGCAGGGCAGGGACTACTAGGGAGAATAACAAAGTATAAAGAGCTTCTAATCTTTTATCCACAGGGTCTTTAAACACTGTAATAACCTTAAAAAGAACAGTCAGTGCTTTGTCAATACAGAAAATGGCCGTATCCACAAAGGGAATGGCCACTTCTTAACTCCTCCTCAATACGGTATTGCTGAGCCTGGTAGGAATAGCTTGTTAGCAGTAGTGAATGCACTGGAAATGTTTTTAAAGGGTGGGGACTATTAAGGGATCCCAGACTGGTAAGTCTAGAGAATTTAGATGCAGGTTGCTCCAGTTCTATACACGTGCACAATGGACTGGTCCAAGATGTATCCTTAAGCTTAAGAGTTATGCCAACAGACTGAACCTCCTCTGGTAAAAACGCATCCAAAATGTTTAAGGTACATTTCTTAGCATCCTCAGCTGAGTGTGTAGAAGCAGCTGCAGTTGTAGGCAATTCAGAGACTTTGGAAGAGAGGGTGAAGAAGTACGCTTGTGAACCTTGCATTCTGATTCAACTATTGTGGCAAAGATTTTGCTTATAAGCATTGACATAGTTGA